TACCGGTCAAAAAAAAAAAAAAAAAAAAAAAAAAAAGAAATGAGATAGGGAAATGACTACAGAAGCACAGAAGATAAGACAAACGTAATAACAATACTGTGTACAACTTTATACCAATACACTTGAAAGTCTTGCTAAAATGCGTTATATTCTTAGAAAATATAAATTACCAAGTTTGAGGCATGATGATACAGAAAATCTAAAATGGAAATAAACAATAAGATAAGATGGAAATAAACAATAAGAGAGCTAAATATCCACAGCTGAAAAAAAGATAGAGGCCAGGGGATTTTATAGGCAGGTCTTGTCAAATCATCAAGGAATAGATAACCTCTATTTTATATAAATTGATCCAGAGAAAAAAACAAAAGCAACAGTATTTTTTAACTTATTCCATAATCCTAATATGCAGCCTTGGCAAATATATGCTTATCCATGTAGAGAAATCTGGCAGATGTATTAGACCTGATGAGTTCTTCATGTTGGTAAGATGCAACATCAAATTACAAAAATCAGTAATAACATTTCTCAAATCAGAAATAACTAACTAGAAAACATAAGAGAGCACATAAGTGAAAAACAGGTTCTATTCCTGAAGCAGAAAAGACTGTAATAATAGAAGCTATCACTCTACAAGGGCACACTGTATCTCAAACATAACTCATTTAATCCTCCCAGTGGCTTTGTAAGGTAGGGACTTCTTTACAGGTAAGTAAAGGAAGTACATACAGGTTAAGCTTTGTCCAAGGTCGCACAGCTGGTAAGTGGTGGAATCAGGATTTGGACTGTGTTTGTGTTGGTGTGCATTCAGAGCACATACTTGTAACCTCTAGGGTACAGTACTTCACATAAATGCCTATGAATAAGCCCCACAAGACATATGCAAGATCTTTATGACAAAAAGTCTAAAACTTCAGTGAAAGTTTTAAAAGAACACTTGAGAAATGGAGATTCCAACTATGTTTTTGAATTAGAAGACTAAATGTAAAGACACTGTATTAGACAGGATAAGATAAGCTTTGGTGTTCTAACAAATGAGGTCCCCTCTCCAGATATCAGAAGCGTGCACAAACATTAATTTTTTGTTCATGCAAGGTCCATTGTGATTGAGGCAGTCCTCTGCCATCCTGCAGTGTGTCTCTGGAACATACAGTCTCCAGGCTGCGATAGCAAAGGAAGACAGGTCTTGAGAATCACATTATGTTTTGAAAGGGCTAAATCGGCAGTGACTTATATCTTGTCAGCACAGATTTCATTATTCAGAATCTAGTCACCTGATCACATCAGCCTAACTGCAAGAGAGGCTTAAACATGTAGTGTACAATGTGCAACCAAGAAGAGGATACAGTGTGGTAAATGCAAGACGTCATCTCTGCCAGTTGTCAACAGTGCCTGGTACAGAGTTGACTCTCAATACATATTTTTTAAGTAAAAAAAAAAATGTGAAAACCTTCCTCCAACTTAGTCTACAGATTCAGTGTACTGCCACGCAAAATTCCTCTAGGATTTTCCATGGAATTTAACAAGCTGATGCTAAAATTCATCTGAAGGAAAAAAATATGGAAAATTAGTCAGGAAATTTTGAAACCAAAAATTGTGTTCATGAGAGGGAGGAGACTTTACTACTATATCCCACACATGTATAAAGCTATCATAATTAAAACAGTGTAGAATTACTGCAGGAGCATACAGATAATAAAATAGGGGGGAAAAACCCAACTATGTATACATGGTACACAAAGGGATTGAGTATATGATAAAATGTCATTTCAAATTATTTGGTGGAAGGACAGACCCTTCAGGTAATTGGCTACCCATTTTAAAAATTATTAAAAATAACAATTCCCACCATAGGAAAAATAAATTTTATACATATTAAATAACAAAAGGTGAAAAAAATAAAAATACTGAGATAACATACAGAAAAGTATCTTATCATCTTATGACTTCCTAAGCATTGTGCAAATGTCATAAGTGATAAAGGATCAGGATAGAGAGGTTATGACATAAAAAGCAAGATTAGAATACAAGCACAGACAGGAAGAAAATTTCAATATATATGGAAGGTGAAGGATAACTGTCCAGAAGATATGCAGAGCATAGGCAAACCAATAAAAAGAAAAAAAAAAAGAATATTGCAATGTAAAAGTGGTCAAAGCACATGAACAGACAATCTACAGAAGGGAAAATGCATATGATCATAACATGAAAAGATGCCGAACTTCACCAGTAATCAGGGAAATACAAATCCAAACAAAGACTGAGTTATTTCTTTCATCCCAGCTTGGCAATAATAAATATGAAAGATGTGGAAAAGTGGAGTCTCTCATTCATCAATGATAGGATTGTAAAATGGTAGAAACTTTACAAATGGCCATTTAGTAAATCTATCAAAATTTTAAAATTCATAAAACATCGACTCAGCAATCACTCTTCTAAGAACCTTTTATAGAAACACACACATGTGTGCAATGATATATGTACAAAGATCTTTATTATGGTATCATTTATAGTAACAAACAGCTATAAACAGCCAAAGTGCCCATCAATAAAAATTAGTTAAAAGCATTATGGTATGTTTATATTATGCAATGCCAAATAACCATTAAAAAAGATAGATCTATGTGTATACTGAGTTGAAAAAATCTCTAAGAAATAGCATTAGGTGCAAATGCATGTCTCTCAACAATGTATAGTGTAATACTGTTTATGAGCTTTTTATGAAATGTATGTATGTGTATATATATGATGTGTATTTAAGTGCAGTGAAAAAATCCTAGAAGAATATATAATAGTTAACAGTGATGATTACTGGGACAGGAAGTGTGCAGTGGGAAATGAAGAACTTTAACATTTTACTCTATAGACTTTGATAATGTTTACTCATTTACAAAAATAATGTATTCATTCACAGGCGCACAGGCATGTGTGTGGAGGTATGTGGGGGAGTGTGTGTGGGGAGAGAGAGAGAGAGAGAGAGAGAGAGAGAGAAAGGCAGAGAACACTACCCAGTCTACCCAGTAAACCATTTTTTTATGTTTGCTAGGAGTCTCCTGGGATAAATGGATGGAACTAGACTTTATCGATCATTTATCATATATTCTGCATTTTCATGTGCACTCACTTTATCTGTGCTGCAATTGTATTAAGGGGAGTAACTTATGTTTAACAGATGCAAAAAGAAGGGGATAGACTTTACCAAGGCACAAGGACAGTACCTCCTTCCAAGAGACTTTCCACTGTACTTTGGGCAGGAACATGTGAGCATTAGAAAGACAATCAGTGCAATACACCAGGGGTTAGGGGAAGCAAGGAAAGAGTGACAGTTTGCTTCATGCGTGAGACATTCTTGGAATTCCACTAGAGTGATCTTGGGTCAGTTTTTCAGCTTTCCTTGTCTACTTTCTGCCTCCAGTTGGGCTCTGTGTCTATAGCATCAGCTACTAATTCCTGCTACTTGGGTACATTTTCTTCCCAAACCACCTCACAGAACCTTTCCCTTTTCCCATATGAGTTCCTGAATGGATCTCTGCTCAACACTTTGAAGGAAAGGAAAATTAGAAAACTGTGTGCCTTATACTGCCTCTAATTAGCACAACATAACCAGACTCATACCATGCAAATAGAAACCACTGGATTTGGAGGAGACAAAATTAGAAAAAGATACCTTTGTTTCTAAACAGACCTGAATTTGAATGCCAACTTCATCACTTACAGTGTGACATACTTCATTTCTTGGCTCTTCATTTTGTTTATGTGTAAAGCACAGATGATGATATTACCTTTTCTTCATGGTTAGAAAATAAATATACGAAGTGTTCAGTGGCTAGTATATGCTCAATAAATAGGAGCTTCACTATTACCACTACTATAATTATTTTAAGTACATTGCAATTCCTGTTTTTACAGCCAATGTATCATGTTACCTCATAGCATCTTAGTGAATTAAGGTAGGATAGGAGTGTCTACCTCATTTTACAGATGAGGAAACTGGGGATCAAAGAAGTTAAGTTACTTGCCCGGGTTCAACAGCCAATGTATCATGTTACCTCATAGCATCTTAGTGAATTAAGGTAGGATAGGAGTGTCTTACCTCATTTTACAGATGAGGAAACTGGGGATCAAAGAAGTTAAGTTACTTGCCCGGGTTCACATACATCACAAGGAGCAGAGATGGCATTTGTACAGGTCTCTCCAATTGTGCAGCCCATTCTCTTTTTTGTTTTATTTATATGCACCCTACCCCCAGTGCCTAGCACAGGACCATGAAAAGGTCGACACTCAAATTCCAGTTTCTGGATTGATTTTGCAGGGGGCTGAGACCTCTGCTCTCCTCCCCCCAATTCATTCCCACCTCTGCACCCCATGCCTCTTTAAGAGATCCTTTTCCCATTGCAAACATGCCCAAATTGAAAATATTTTTTCCACAACCCATTTAGTTGCCTGTTTGGTCCATAGAGGAGCTCATTCCTACCTCAAAGGCATGTCAACAGAGGCTGCTAACATTGCTAATTGAACAGAAGCAGAGGCTGCTGCTCCACGCACTGTCCATGGTCCTGGAAGGGTCACCTCTGAGCTACAAGGGTAATGCAAACCTTGTTTTTGCTGCAGTCTTCAACCTTGGTCGACAGATATTCTGGGAATAGATTCTGGTTTTAGAAAGTAGTTTATAATTCCCCGTGAATTGGTCTGTCATGCTTTTTATGTCTGTGTGTTCATGGAAAACAGTTTTTAAATTTGCTTTGTGTGTGAATGTGCACGCTGGTATCCCCCTCGACTCCTCCAAAATGTCACAAATGACTTTCCTTAAATTTACCAATTTGCAGGATTAATGTGTTTCTCTCTAGACACCTGTGCCCTAGATAGATTCCAGCCAGAATAGCTGTCTTTGTTTCTAAACTCTGACCTGTTTTTCAGGTAAAGGAGGCCTTGGTTTTAGGTCACCCCCAGTGGGGCATCCAGGATGTGGAGCTAACTCTGGGTTCTGTTTTATCACGCAGTTGTGTGGAGGAGTACAAGCTGGCTCCCGATGGAAAATCCTGTGTAATGCTCTCAGATGTCTGCGAGGGCCCCAAGTGCCTCAAACCTGACTCCAAATTCAACGACACCCTCTTTGGAGAGATGCTACATGGTTACAACAACCGGACCCAGCATGTGAACCAAGGCCAAGTCTTCCAGATGACCTTTAGGTATGGAGCAGACACTTGCACAATACTGGTCTGAGTCACTGACCCAAAATAAGGGCAGGGGGAGGAAGCCATCTGCACAATGGAGTAGAAACTTATTATGCTGGCTGGCAACTCCCCAAGCTCATTGATACCCACTCAACAGGTGTTAGAACTCAGCAAAATTCATTCAGTGGAGTTCCTTTTCCACCGACCTAGCACTTACTTGTCTCATCTTTCTGTTTTCCTAACTCTATTCACATATTACAAATTCAATCTTAGATCATCCTGTAAGTACAGTTGATGGAGTTTTTAAATTTCTTAATTAATTTTTCAGTCTATTAAAAAATAAGTATCCTATGTATGCTATTCAGGCAGTTAAAAAAAAGACATTTAATGAAGTAGAAAACAAAAATCTCATCACACAGAAATAACCAGAATTAAAAATAAGTATCCTATGTATGCTATTCAGGCAGTTCAAAAAAAAAAGACATTTAATGAAGTAGAAAACAAAAATCTCATCACACAGAAATAACCAGAATTAACATTTTCCTGAAGACTCTGAAAACATGTCTCTCTTTCCCTTTATACGTCTCTATTTAATCTGTCTACACACATGCACACACTCACATACACACCCCAAATCTCAGTAAAGGTGTTTAGAATTGCTTTTTTTGCTCAACAATATGCCAAAGACCTCTTTCTCTGTTACTGGAAACAGAGGTATATGCAAAATTAAAAGATGAGAGGGAACACTTATCAAATGATGACTAGGTGGGCCAGATTATATGAAGATTAGACATGCAGACTCATGGTGAAAGGCTTCCTTGGACAGTTGAAGGAACTGGGACACTCTGCCTGCAGAAGAGAGACCTTGGGTGGGATTTATTCAAGCTTCAAAATCTGAAGAACTGTGAGATGGTGGAGTGAGAAGACTTGTTCCATGTACAAGAAAGGATACTCTAAAAATACAAAGTCTGGAGTTTTAGACAGTTTTGCATGAAAAAGGAATAGGATATTATCACAGAGCAAGGTTTTACTTATCATTTGAGGTCATATAATAGAAGTCAGAACTAGTAAGAAATCACCATTATGGACATTATCATCTTCATCCATCAACTTATTAATAGTAGTGATAGTTAGTAGGAGTGGCAATAACAGTTACCATTTATTAAGAATTATTCATTGTTGAGATCTTTGCTACCATTAATAATAATAGTAACAACAACAATAATAATATTTGTAATGGCCACTAACATTAACTCAGCACTTGCCACTGTATTCTAAGCACTGTTCATCTATTAACTTATGTAATCCTCACAATAACCCTATGAGGCAGGGACTGTTGTTATTCCCTTTATATGGGTGAGCAACAGAAATTTAATGTAACTTTCCAAAGATCCCCTTCTAGGAAGTGAGAGACCCAGGATAATGCCATTTTAGCTTTATTATCAGAACCTCTAAGGCACCGTGGCATCCATTTTACAATTAAAAAGTCAATATCAGAGAAATTCAGTGGCTTTCTCAAGGTCACCATCTAGTGAGAAGTTGAGTCAGGATTCAGATGTAAGTCTGGCTGACTCTAAAGCCTTGCTCTTGTCTTTTAATTCAACATAATCCCTCACCTCCCATTTTAGAGAATGGGAATGGAGATATAAGTGCCTAAAACCATTCATCCTTTTGGTCATCACATGCTCTTTGAGCACTGCCTGTGCCCAGGTACCATGCTGGTTACTGGGGATACAATGGAATATGAGATAAAAAATGGCCACCNATCATCCTGTAAGTACAGTTGATGGAGTTTTTAAATTTCTTAATTAATTTTTCAGTCTATTATAAAATAAGTATCCTATGTATGCTATTCAGGCAGTTAAAAAAAAGACATTTAATGAAGTAGAAAACAAAAATCTCATCACACAGAAATAACCAGAATTAACATTTTCCTGAAGACTCTGAAAACATGTCTCTCTTTCCCTTTATACGTCTCTATTTAATCTGTCTACACACATGCACACACTCACATACACACCCCAAATCTCAGTAAAGGTGTTTAGAATTGCTTTTTTTGCTCAACAATATGCCAAAGACCTCTTTCTCTGTTACTGGAAACAGAGGTATATGCAAAATTAAAAGATGAGAGGGAACACTTATCAAATGATGACTAGGTGGGCCAGATTATATGAAGATTAGACATGCAGACTCATGGTGAAAGGCTTCCTTGGACAGTTGAAGGAACTGGGACACTCTGCCTGCAGAAGAGAGACCTTGGGTGGGATTTATTCAAGCTTCAAAATCTGAAGAACTGTGAGATGGTGGAGTGAGAAGACTTGTTCCATGTACAAGAAAGGATACTCTAAAAATACAAAGTCTGGAGTTTTAGACAGTTTTGCATGAAAAAGGAATAGGATATTATCACAGAGCAAGGTTTTACTTATCATTTGAGGTCATATAATAGAAGTCAGAACTAGTAAGAAATCACCATTATGGACATTATCATCTTCATCCATCAACTTATTAATAGTAGTGATAGTTAGTAGGAGTGGCAATAACAGTTACCATTTATTAAGAATTATTCATTGTTGAGATCTTTGCTACCATTAATAATAATAGTAACAACAACAATAATAATATTTGTAATGGCCACTAACATTAACTCAGCACTTGCCACTGTATTCTAAGCACTGTTCATCTATTAACTTATGTAATCCTCACAATAACCCTATGAGGCAGGGACTGTTGTTATTCCCTTTATATGGGTGAGCAACAGAAATTTAATGTAACTTTCCAAAGATCCCCTTCTAGGAAGTGAGAGACCCAGGATAATGCCATTTTAGCTTTATTATCAGAACCTCTAAGGCACCGTGGCATCCATTTTACAATTAAAAAGTCAATATCAGAGAAATTCAGTGGCTTTCTCAAGGTCACCATCTAGTGAGAAGTTGAGTCAGGATTCAGATGTAAGTCTGGCTGACTCTAAAGCCTTGCTCTTGTCTTTTAATTCAACATAATCCCTCACCTCCCATTTTAGAGAATGGGAATGGAGATATAAGTGCCTAAAACCATTCATCCTTTTGGTCATCACATGCTCTTTGAGCACTGCCTGTGCCCAGGTACCATGCTGGTTACTGGGGATACAATGGAAAATGAGATAAAAAATGGCCCCCGACCCTCTGGTGCTTATGTATGGTTAGAGGTGGGGTGGGGCTATTATCTATTTACTTAATTTTATTAATGAAGTAGAGATACAGGGTTCCAAGAAAGCAATTAACAGTGGGATCTAATTTAGTTGGAGCAGAGTGGTAGGGGGTACATCTGTTGGATTAGATAGCAGTAGTCAGGCTTCAGAATCTACTGTTCAGATGAAGTATTATTTAGCTAATATCTGATAGATGAGTAGGAGTTAGCATTGGAAAAGGTTTCAAGCAGAGAAAAATGTGATAAGGAAAATAACTTTGTTGGTTTTAGGAAATGAAGGCGTCTAGTGTTGATTGAAGCTGAGTGAGTCAGGAGAGAATAGTGGGAGATGAAGCTGGAGCAGTAAGCAGTAGCATGGGGGTCTTGCAGGCCAAGTCTTTATTCTAACAGCAATGGGAGAACTCTTAAGTGGTTAAAGGAGGGGAGTATGCAGTGGTTGCATTGTACTTTTCAATGTCACGGTGGCTATGTGAGAAGTAGGTTGCAGTGAGTTGGCTGGGAGAGAGTGGAAACGAAGATCAATTAGGTGTCTGTTGTGAAAGAGTGTTGGTGGCTTTGAGCAGGATGATGGAAACAATATTGGAGAGAAAAAGGGATTGGGAAAGAGACTTGTGAGGTCCAGTGTGCTATTGCAAGGCAAGGGTAAGGTTGAGAGAGGATTCAAGGGTGAATTTACTTTTACTTATTTTTATTTACTTATTTAAATTGACATGTTGTAATTGTACATGCTTACAGGGTACAGTCTGATGTTTTGATACATTTATATGTTGTATAATGATTGGGTCAGGGTAGTTAATGTGTTCATTACTTCATGCATTTATCATTTCTTTGTGAAGAAAACATTCATTCTCCTCTTGATGTTATGTAATATACAAAACTTAATTGTTATCCATAGTCACCCTACTGTGCCATAGAACACCAGAACTTATTCCTCCTATCTAATTGTAATTTTGTGCCCACTGGCCAACCTCTTCCTGTTTTTCCTTTCTCCCTCCACACCCTGGTTTCTGGTAACCACCATTCTACTCTACTCTCTGTCTCTATATTATATATATATATACACATACATACATATATATATGTATATATATACATGTGTGTATATATATATATATATATATATATATATATATATATA